TTAAGTGACATTTAAGCGGCTTTGAAAGCACTCTGTAATAATCAAGTGAATTCAAAACTTCTTCTCGAATTCAGGGAAACTTTAGAATCACTATCAGGGTTCAACAAAGTTACACTAGCGTGGGTATCAGCACACAAAGGTGTCACTGTAAATGAAAATGCTGAATTTCTAGTCAGAAAAGGAGCAGAGAACACCTATGTTGGACCAGAACCAGTGGTAGGACTCACTGAGCAATCGCTTTATGTACTCCCTAAGATTTGGTAGAGAGAAAAACACTGGGCAATCTGGAAGTACTTGGTAATGTCTAGACAATCCAAAATGTTTATCATGAACTTCGGTCTACTGCTGGGTGATCTTAATAAAATGAATAGTCATCAAATAAACACTTTGACCGGTCTACTAACAGGACATGGTCACTTGCCTAAATATTTTACACAATTGGAGTATCGGAATCACCATGTGCAGGAAGTGTGGAGTAGAAGAGGAACATTCATTTCACATTATGCGTGAATGTGAAGCCTTGTCCATACTAAGATCAAACTACTTGAGTAAACTTTTTCCTGAAAAAGAAGATATAAAAAACCTTAAACCCAGATTTCGCTGGAAAGACAAGACTTTTTGGTCATCGATAGGAGTAACTTGATGGTCAACCATTATACAATGATAAGTATAATGTAATAACACTTCGGTGATAACACTTAGGTGAGTAATCCGAATATAGACTTAATTCATAAAACTTGTAATCAGAATATAATTAATGAAATGGGAGATTATGTAGCTTTTCGAATAATCTATTATTTTTTTAACATTAAACACTCTAGAAATTCACATTGAAGTTTTTTTTTATAATAGTGATTTTGTTCACTGACAGATATCATCCATACTTAAAGTGGGGGGTAAACACCACGCACGCTATCGGTTACCTTGGTAACGAGAGTAGGAAAGGATGCATTACTTCACTACCTGTTAAATGTGCATTTAAATGCTTTCTGAACATTTTGCTATTATATTGTTTTCAAGTGATCAACTGGTGACATATTTGAACATTTTCTTTATTCATTAACTTTTCATACAAGTATGCCGAAACGCAAGTGTTCATTCAATGTGAATATACAAGCAAAGTATTCATGCAAACCATCATTAAGAAATATAAAACTCCTTCGAATTTCAAATGCAAAAAGTGCCGCACTCAGTTTAGTGTTTCCCAGTTTTTTGAAAAAAACTATTTTTTTTGCATTGAGAATTGAGAAATGTCCCAAATCAATCAAGGACTTTTTTGGAGATCTTACCCCAGAATTTCGGCTTAATTTTTTACACGCTCAGTTATCAAGTTTTCACCTAGCTGTTCTAAAGTTTGAAGGTCAAAATATATCGACAATTGACTTTGCTAAAGAAATCACTCAACTCAAAGAAAATTTTATTCAGAAACAAAGAAATCAGTTTTTTCCATTTACTGTGCGTAATTTGATCGCAAAACTGAAAGATAATGGCTATAATATTGACGAAGATTTCGTGAAAAAAACAGCGACCAAATTTTATGAAACGAGCAGTGAGTATTTGAAACAATGGACTCACTTTCTCACTAAAGAAATGGATATATTTTATTGGGCAGATTTTAAAAAAGTACCCACATGGGAAGATGTACAAAAAGCATCAGATTTATTAAATGAAAAGAGAAAAATTGAAAGCACTAAAGATATACAAAATATTTAATGAATTTAGACTAATTCTGAACTACATCACTTTAAAAAAAATTATTGAATGGAATAATTTAAAAATTCAGACAGAAACTCGTTTGGTGGAAGTATTCAATCACTTCCGCGTTAACAATCTACAACACGAGTATTTTTGTATTTTGATTGAATATATTTTATGTCTTCCTGGTACAAATGCTCCAGTAGAGAAAACATTTTCTTTAATGAACAAATTGTGGACGTCTGAAAAAATTTACTTACAAGTTTCAGTTCTGAAGGCGATGTTGATAACAAAAGTTAATATATACAAAACATGTCAAGAATTTCACTCTTATTTAAAATCATCACCATCTTTATTGAAACAAATTTGTTTCCCTGAGTAATATAAATGTAATTAAAAAATATGTTTGTTTAGTATAGTTTAATAATTAATTAATTACTGTCACTAAATAGTTTTTTCAATAAATCTGATGTAATAGTAATTTCAACTAATGTAAACACGAAATAAGACAGATAACAAAGTTTTATTCTTTCTTAATGTTAACCTTCCGACTGGTATATGTATATATTAATTCATTTTCAAAATTTATAATATAAGCAGTATGTCCTGTTTTGAGTTTGAAAAAAAAAGGTCAGTTTATCTATACTGGACCCAACTATGCCACGTCGCCACTGTGCTGGGCTCTTTGTTTGTTTTATATGATTTTCACTACTATTTCTCAGCTCACACAGGACCAATTTCTTTCAAAGTTACGTCAAAAGATTAAAAATTTTGGTGGTGTCACTGATAAATGAATTGTTGCTTCGGGTATTCGACGTTAGGCAATTGCTGGACTTTACATTACGACAATAACGTGTGTAATGGTCCAGCAGTGTGTAAAGTGGCGTGATGGCTGAAAAGAATTTAGCATGATGTCGAGGGATGTCAAACGGATAACAATACCGTATCCATTATTAAAAATTAAAAATATATTTAAAATATTATCTATATTTATCGTTAATTGTGTATATCTATTGAAAATGGGTCAATTTGAAGCGGTTTTTGTAAAATGTTATACATAGTACAAAAAATGTATAAAATTGTAATTAATAGTTTAACGGGAATAAGGTGTTTGGCCGCCCTTAGTGTAATTATATGTAGAAATATTTATATTTTGATATTTTTTATGGTTATATTCTTATATTTTGAAAGATAACAAAATAAAAACTTTTTCTCAGCTCTCACTGGACCGATTTCTTTCAAAAATACGTCAAAAGATCACAAATCGTATCTAGTTGAAGACATTACCCTTAAAAATTGAAAAAAATTTCCTCGTTCCCAGCAAATGGGGGAAATATCCAAAAAAATTACAAATTTAAAAATCGCTAATTTTCGAAATTTTTTCACTTTTTTTTCTTAAAACTTCCATAACTTTTTGAAAAATCAACAAATCAACATAATTTTTTTTT